CGCACAGTTTGGAACAGCCTGAGGGTGAAAAAAATGCATAGAAAAAATGGGTGTGTGTGAGAGAGTGTGTGTGTGAGAGAGAGAGAGAGAGAGAGTGTGTGTGCACGTCTGAGAGTGTGTGTGTGCGCGCGTCTGTGAGAATGTGTGTGTGGGTCTGTGAGAGTGTGAGAGTGTGTGTGTGGGTCTGTGAGAGTGTGTGTGTGTCTGTGAGAGTGTGTTTATGTATATATGATTCTAATATGATACATATGCAATATTACAGTTACAGTTTTGTTAAATGTCACTTTTTTATTATAAATATTTATTTACAATAAGATACATTTTAACTGTAAAAGGACATGTCATATTAGAATTATGTGTATATATATATATATATATATATATATATATATATGTAAAAGATAAATCTGTATGATAAATATAGTGCACATTTTTATTATAAATAATTTAGCTTTGAAAAAAGTTTTATAGTAAAAGTTACGTATCATATTAAACAATATGATCATTTTTCATCATAAATAGGCAGTTAACATAATGTTTTCACTGTGTCTTCATGAAATATATTTTTTTATATTTAAAAATAAGTGCATTCAGAATTTCCTGAAGAAAAATAATGCAATTCATTATGCAATTTCAAGAGAAATATGAGAAAATAACGTTCTCCAGTGTTGAATATAGGATAAGAGTTTTCTGAAACTAATGATTGAATCACATATGTGTTTTCTTTCATTAATGATTGTTTTGTTAAAATCAAATAAAACAATATCTGGAATATCATAGACACATCATGATGGATTAAATATATTCTACACATTAAAATAGACATGTTTCCAGTTACAGTTTTGTTAAATGTCACTTTTTTTATTATAAACATTTATTTACAATAAGATACATTCTAACTGTAAAAGGACATGTCATATTAGAATTATATATATGTGTATATATATATATATATATAAAAAATGTAAAAGATAAATCTGTATGATAAATATAGTGCACATTTTTATTATAAATTTAACTTTGAAAAAACAAGTTTTATAGTAAAAGTTACGTATTATGTTAAACAATATTTTAATTTTTCATCATAAATAGGCAGTTAACAATGTTTTCACTGTGTCTTCATGAAATATATATTTTAATATTTAAAAATAAGTGCATTCAGAATTTCCTGAAGAAAAATAATGCAATTCATTATGCAATTTCAAGAGAAATATAAGAAAATAACATTCTCCAGTGTTGAATATAGGATGAGAGTTTTCTGAAACTAATGATTGAATCACATATGTGTTTTCTTTCATTAATGATTGTTTTGTTAAAATCAAATAAAACAATATCTGGAATATCATAGACACAGACAACATGATGGATTAAATATATTCTACACATTAAAATAGACATGTTTCCTTATTTAATCACTGTTTCTCTCTCTTTCTGCAGATCCTCGAGACTGAACACCTGCTTCCCCCTGTGTTCTTCCTGTCATCCAACACCTCGGCGTTACACCTGAAATTAGAACACACACACACAACACACACACCAGCCCCAGTCAACTCCACCGGGACGAGCCGTTAGGTACCTCTAACACACGCACACATACACACACACACACTCTCTCACACACACACACGCACGCACACTCACACAACACACACACTCACACAACACACACACACACTCTCACACACTCACACACTCTCTCTCACAGACGCACGCACACAACACACTCACACAACACACACTCACTCACACAACACACACACACACACAAACACACACTCTCACACATTCTCACACTCTCTCACACGCACACACTCTCTCACGCACGCACACACACACACACACACACACGCTGGTGTCCTCCAGGCATGTGCTCCATTCAGCCGTGTAGAGGTGATCTTTCATTTTGACAGATCATCAGCTTTTCTTTCATGTGAGATGTGGAGACACTGGTTTCCGAGCGCGACCGTTCGCTTTTAACGTCTTCATACAGTGAGAAGCAGGCCTCGGCTTTAGATCAGCTCATGGATCGTGAACGCTTTGCTTATTCCGAAAGCATCCTGGAGGTTTAAGCTTCGTGGCTGAGGGGGCGGCACGGTTTCTGTCCCATCATGCATCTGTGAGCAGCGCGGACGCCTGCCAACCTGTTAATGCATAACAACCCCAGGCGTCATCAAACACATGCCAGAGCACCCAAACAATCTGTGTCTAATCAGAGACCTGCTTCTGACCTTGTAACTGACAAACATCGAGTGATAACTCCATTACATGATGCTGGAAAACACTTGATGTGTTTCGTATGGAATCAAGGATCACGAACAGCAGTCTTAAGAGACAAACAGCCTGATCAATGCTTTAACACAGCGTCCCGTCCCAAGAAACACCACAGAGCTGAGGATCAAACTATTGATGTGAACCTTGGAACATTGATATTGATTTCACACTGATTCATTTATTCAGACATGTGGGTCGTACTAGATGTGTCCTTTAGCTGCTGAGATCTGTGTCCCTTTCAGTGGCCAATAAGATGTATCCACTGATCGTTTAAAATGTGAATATAAAAAAAATATGTATATATTTTTTAATATTTTCTGCTGAAATTGTTGGATTCTTTTTGACACACCTGTATTGTTCATATGAATAAATTTAACTGAATTGTCAACCTTGCATTCAGAACTTAAATATATATTCTGAAATAAAATAAATATAATATTTGTAACAGGGCTGACGAGACGTGAGACGTGCGGATCCATATGCAAAGCTTTATTAGACAGAGACATGATCATAAGACAGGCAGGGTCAGAACACAGGCATATGGCGGGCAAAACACAAGAACAGTCACAGGGCTAGCGAAGGTCACCGATGGGCAGACAGAATCGGAAGGGACAAGACTAAGGGAGAAATCCAAGAAACCAGGCGAAGATCAAGAACCGAGAAAACAGCTAGGGCTAAGGCAAGGAAAATCACTAGGGCTCCGTAATGTAGCTATCTGGGGGAAGATAAGCGCTACACAATACTCAGCAGAGGGAAGGGATCAGAGTGAGTGTTAAATAGTGAGGGAGTGATATGAAACAGCTGGGTGCAATCAGTGTAAACAGCTGTGTGCAATCTGTGCTGAGTGCAATCAGTGCAATGCATGATGGGAAATGTAGTCCGGGGTGATGTGCAACAGTGTGTAGTGCGAGAGTCAATGAAATTGGAAGTTCATGGACCGGATTCGTGACAATATTATTTTGAACAGAATAATAATAATCATAATAATAGTTTCCATATAAAATATTTTCTGCTGAAATTGTTTTGGGTTCTATCTTTAAATATAAAAAAAATTTAATTGCATTCCTAACTTAAATTTCAAGATCAGAAATGAGACAAATGCAATAAAATTCTCCTTAATTGTGAACTTGGGTGTAGAGGAAGCCGGTCAGTAAGAGGTTAAACGGTTCTGTGCATCTCATTGATCCGGACCAGCTGGGAAAAATCGGTTTTGGCTCGACTGTGTCTCTTAGAAAACACAGGGTAAGAATGATATAAAATGGGCTATTTTGGGCCGCCAAATCAGTAAATTGCAGCACAAAATAATAACCCACCAATCAGTGGATTTTATGTGCTAAAAATCCAGATCTGAGCTAAGGAGCAGTGAAAGAAAAAAAAATGTCAGGTTTAAGAAGTGTTTAAACATTGCATTAATATTTATTTGAATTATCACTCTGTAGGTTATGCATTTCTATGTCTGGAATGCTTTTGTCTTACAAACTTATTTGTCATCTGAACATTTTTCACCTAATATAGGCTATTTAGGCCTACTTGAACCTGAGATTTTAAAATAAATATTAAAAAAATGAAGTATCACATTTGCATGTTCATTGGTTCTCTGACGTTGGTTATGGTCACATGCAATATTTAATGCACTTCATGTTGTTAATAACAACAAATGCATATATTTTCTGTGTATTTTTATGTCAATATGGTGTCTGGAATCAATTTGATAAACGAGTTAGGTCAAAAGTAATCTAAAAGTAATCTGATTACATTACCTAAAATGTGTAATGTAATGGATTGCGTTACTAACTACAATTTTTGTCATGTAGCCTCATTTGGAATCAGTAACCGTTTACAATTTGTAAGTAATCTACCCAGCTCTGGCTGAATCATTACGGAGTAATCACAGCACTGGGAATATTATAGTTTAATGTTGATTTCAAGAGTGTCTGCTTTACCTTTCAGGTAAACACGTGTTTACTTCAGGAGCGGTTGTCCCCAGAAGTTATCCGATAGCTGAAGTTAGCTAATAAAATAACTGACAGAACCTCTGTTTTACTAGTGAACTGATTCCTACGCGACATAGGCTAAATATGTATTTTATTACAAGTTTTCTTATAGATGCAGATTTCATAGAAGTCTGTCGAATGTGCTCATTTGTGACCCTAGAGCATTTGAAGTCAAGTCACCTTTATTTATATAGCGCTTTTAACAATACAGATTGTGTCAAAGCAACTGAACAGCATTAATTAGGAAAATAGTGTCAATAATGCAAAATGACAATAGTTAAACACTCACTTTTCAGTTTAAGCAGTGTTAAGTCGCTGGGGTATATTTGTAGCAATAGCCAACAATGCATTGTATGGGTCAAAATGATTGATTTTTCTTTTATGCCAAAAATCATTAGGATATTAAGTAAAGATCATGTTCTGTGAAGATATTGTACATTTCCTACCGTAAATGTATCCAAACTTAATTTTTGATTAGTAATATGCATAGCTAAGAACTTAATTTGGACAACTTTAAAGATGATTTTCTCACTATTTAGATTTTTTTGCACCCTCAGATTCCAGTTTTTCAAATAGTTGCATCTCAGCTAAATATTGTCCTCCTATCCTAACAAACCATACATCAATGCAAAGCTTATTTATTCAGCTTTCAGATAATTGTGTCAAAATGATGACTGGTTTTTGTGGTCCAGTGTCACATTTAGCCAGCGGAGGTGTGTGTGTGTGTGTGTGTGTGTGTGTGATCGCTGGGTGGAGCAGCAGTGTACGGCAGGTCTCGTCTCTCATTGCGGCGGCTGGAGATCCATCGAGCGGCGGCGGAATGTCGCTCCGCTGTCCGTGTGCGTGAAGAGCAGGTGGAGGCAGAGGAGGAGGAGGAGGATGGAGGAATCCGACAGCATCCCCTGCACCGCGGAGGACGGACTCCTGTCGAGCTGGAGATGGAACAGAACCGCCAGGGATCAGGTCCAGATCAAGCAGAAGATCCGAGATCTGCCCGGATTACTAAAGCACGGACTGAACCTGCGCAAAAAGAGCGTGAGTTCCCAATATATGCGCGAGGAAGAATGTGTGTTGCGTGATCGATACACCACCCATATCCCCCATCACTGAAATGATAATGCTGTGGATGCGCACGAACATGCTCACGTTACGATTGATGCGTGTTGCCAATGCATTAATGCGTTATTACAGATGTCATTGATTATGAAGGAGAGGCTGATTTTATTTTTTTTTTAAGTCGTGGTATCTAAGGCAACAGAGATCCACACACACACACACACACACACACACACACACACACACCTGCTGTAACTTCCCAACATGAAAATAGAAAATGTTCTGCGGTTCATATTTGCTGAATTTGATTAATATTCTTTGCAATATTGCGCCCTTATACAAGTTACCATGGCAACCATAGTTTCAGCCAAAGTACCAATACATCAGTTTTGTAACTGCTGTTAAATGGTGAATTAATATGGGATGCTGTGGGAGTATTCCTGTCATTTTTGTGTAATTTCTTTTTCACATTAATCACAATAATAGATAGAAACGGGTTACCATAGTACGTTTTGTAATGGTAGAATGATATGTTTAAAGCCTGAATGAGTCAGTGAGGGGGTTCACAAAACATACCTTTTGTAAACACCTTAAATTGTGGTATTTGCAGACTTTCTTGAAGTCATTTTGTGCGCCATGTAAATACAGCTGTAAAAACTGAGCTGTAAAATAGCTGATATATAGGCTAATTGTTGTATGAATATTGTTCTGCAGCTGAATAGAATATGCAGTATTATCGGAATATTGCATAATGTGGTTGCTTTTATTTAAAAGATACTCAATATGACATAATGAGAGCAAAGGTTCTAATTGGAACCTTTATATTTTCAAGTGACCGTGTAAATATATGCTATTCAAATGCTGTGATCATTAGGTGTCTGATAGCATAATTGAACCGTCACAGTAGGTTTTTTGTGGATTGTATGGAAAGAGCTGATATATATTCTGTTTATACACTTGTGGCGTGACAGAGGGGCTATTCAGCGCTTCAGAGGCTTGAAGACAGGAATTGTGTGTGTTTGGGTGATCACCTCTTAGTTGTATAAGGCCTGATTAATCGTGAGGATGAGAGGAAATCCACAGTGATCAATGAAGCCTTTTGTAACTCTTGAGTTTTATTCAGTAACTTCTGTTGTTTGTAGACTTTCCAGCATGAACATAGTGTTCTTCAGTGTTTCATCTGTTTGTCTCTGATGTGTTGCTTGAGATGTCTTTTACCGTGAGGGCTCTTACGGCTTCGAACAGAATGTTTGGTTCAGGCTCATTTGACTCAATTCATCCTCCCCGGGGTGATTAGAGAATTCAAAAATGAAAGCCTCATTAGTACTAAATGAGAAACAAATATTACACTCGTGACATTTGTTTCCTTGTGTGCTGCAATGACGGCAACTACTGGAGCATCTGTTTATCAGGTTCTGCTGCTGTAAAATACAACTGCAAGTAAAAAAAAATAAAGGCTTTAACAGCTGATGCTATAGGAGAACCTTTTAGAGTCCAAATAATCCCAAAAGAGAACCTTTTTCTGTAATGTTATACACTGAAAACCCAACTATCGTTGTCAATGATAAACCAATCAAGTTCATCATTACTTAACTCATCCAAAGATGTAGATGAGTTTGTTTCTTCATTAGATTTGTAGAAATGTAGCATTGCATCAGTGTCTCAGCAATGGATGCTCTGCAGTGAATGGGTGCCGTCAGAATGAGAGTCCAAACAGCTGATAAAAACATCACAATAATCCACACCACTCCAGTCCATCAGTTAATGTTGTAACGGGGCTGACAAGACGTGAGACATGTGGATCCATCTGCAGGCTTTATTTTAGAGACGTGGTAAACAGGCAGGGTCAAAACACTGGCAAACAGGTATATGGCGGGCAAAACACAAGAATAGTCACAGGGCTAGCGTAGGTCACCGATCAGCAGACAGAATCACAGGGGCGAGACGAGAGGGAGAAATCCAAGAAAACAGGCAAAGATCAAAAACCGCAAAAACAGGCAAGGCAAAGCAAGGAAAATACGGAGACTCGGAAAGGGGTACAGGCTAAACAATACTCAGCCGAGAAATGTGGTTAGAGTGGGTGTTATATAGTGAATGAGGTGATTAGAAACAGCTGTGTGCAATCAGTGCAATCAGGGCAGTGTGCAAATTGTGCAAAGAATGATGGGAAATGTAGTCCGGGGTGCTATGCAACAGTTTGTGTAGTGCGAGAGTCAATGTAAATGGAAAGGGTGACATCTGGTGGTGAATAAACAGAAGTCCATGGACTGAATTCGTGACAAATGTCTTGAGAAGTGAAAAGCTGTGTGTTTGTAAGAAACAAATCCACCATTAAGATGTCTTTAACTTCAAACCGTTGCTTCTGGCTTAAATATGAATTCATAATAATGCTTCCTGCAGTGAAAAAAGTCCATCTCCTGTTGTCTCTCACATCAAAATCCAGCCACATATTTGTTTAGAGCTGTTTTGGACTGTTTTGGCTTGTGAACAGTGCTTGATCTGTGCAGATTTCAGCACATTTCTGATTCAGACAGACCACTTTTTCATTGGAAGAAGTGTTATTATGGATTATTGGACTCAAGTGATGGTTTGAAGTTAAAGACGTCTTAATCTCGGACATGCGATGGCGCCGCAGACGGCAGCCTCGGTGTTTGTTTAAGATATACATTAAAGGTGACATATCATGAAAATCAGACTTTTTCAGGTTTTAAGTGCTATAATCAGGTCCCCGGTGCATCTA